GAATAATTTTAAAGCTCTTAACTCATATTGTCAAACTGCTTCCCCAAATAATCATAAAAATTTGTGTTCCCATTTGCAAAATACAAGAGATCCTACTTTAGTGCACATTTGCTAACATTTAGCATTACTATATCTTTAAAATATTGAATAATTTTGTAAATAAATAACCTCGAAGTCTTTTGGTTAAAAACTTCAGTTGGCATTGAGGAAATATCTGTATTTTTAAGATGTCTTACACAAAAAATTTGGTAAACAATTTAGAAAACTTTTAATTATCCAACAAAAAATTTAACATTCTAGGGGCTTCCCTGGTGGCACAGTGGTTGAGGGTCCACCTGCCGATGCAGGGGATGCGGGTTCGTGCCCCGGTCCGGGAAGATCCCACATGCCGCGGAGCCACTGGGCCCGTGAGCCATGGCCGCTGAGCCTGCGCGTCCAGAGCCTGTGCTCCGCAGCGGGAGAGGCCACAGCAGTGAGAGGCCCGCATTCCGCAAAAAAAATAAAAATAAAAAAAAAAAATAAACATTCTAAAAACTATAAAGTCTAAGAAAAAAAAGTATCTAAATTAAAACTATGAGCAAAACCAATCTCTAATATGTGTTACTTAGGCAAAATGGGAATTAAGAATGGCCCAATTAGATAGTCAAAGCCATTAATTGGACATTTTAAAATAAAGATAGAACTACACTGTAAGTTCCATTTCTTAACTTTCAATATTTCTCTATAATTGTGATTTAAGTATGTCTCTCATAAACAATGTAAAACTGGATTTTTCCTGTAATTTTGAATTTCCTTTAACAGGTAAATTTAATTCATTTACATTATTATCCTTGATATATGATAATCCCTAATATATACCATCTTATTTGTTTTTATTTAACTATACTTTTTCTTTCCTTTTTGCCCCTTTTCTGCCCTTAAAAATCTTATTTTGAATTTATATATTCAACCTTTATGTGTGTAGTCAGTCTTAACATTTTAATTGGGACACTTGAATCAGTAAAGCTTAACACAAGTAGTATTACTGTTCTTTTCCTGAACAACACACAAAAATTAGAACATTTTAACTTAGATTACACCTTCCCATATTCTGTGTTAATGCTGTCTATAGTTTAGTTCCATTTTATTTTATTTTTAACTGCCCCTTAACTGGTCCCTCAATTTTTTAAAGAATCGATTTTCATATTTTTAGTAGTTTATTCATTAAGAGTTTGTGAGTAGTAAGCTCTATCTTGATTATCTCAAAAACTTTAAATTTTGCTCTCTTGAATAATAAACGTGGGACTTTTTCATTCTATCTTCCATGTGTTTTAACCTACCTTTTATATAATCACTCATTCTATCTTTCCTCCTTGTATTCTGAAAAGTTTCATGAGATCTACATTCCAGTTTACCAATTTTCTCTTCAGCTTTATCTAAAGCTGTCTCTGATCTGATCTGATGTTTAATTTTCCATTGAGTTCTAACTTTCAATGGATCACATTCCATTTGATTTTTCCCCAAATCTGTCTGTCCTCTTTATAATATTCTTTTCTTTCATTTGTGCTTATATTCCTTTTAAAAATAGTTTGTCTTTTAATTTTTATTTATTTTATAGCCTCACTCAGATTGCTGTAGGAGTCCATGTTATTAAAGTACTAACTCACCTATTTATTATGTTGCCAACTCTCTCTTACAGCAGACTATTCCCTTGGGTGATATAAAACTTTATGTTGTAAATTCATTTTCAGGAGTGGGCTATCTTTATCATAGACCAATGCACTTGGGTTGTGAAAAGAACTCTAGAAAATGCCTTGCTGTCCACTTCCGCTGGTACCCCAGTTTTACTAACTTTATAAACTGCACATACTTTGCTTTTTGTTCCCTGTACTGTATCTTAGACTCCATACCCAGAACTGGGTGTCGGAGTGTGGTTTTATCACAGGTTTAAGTGAAGACTTCATTTTTCTCTTCTCTACCGTGAATTTTCCTGTAGCTTCGCTGGGCTGATGGGTAAAAAATTTCTAGTTATTTTTCATGGTGAGAGCAGCCATTTATGAGACCCAGTTTTATTCAAGTTTCTGGCTTTCAACTCTCAGCCTCAGAACTGAAAGCCTAAAGCCTAATCCCTAGGACTTACATCCATGTCTAATGCTCCTCTTGGTTATTCTGGTGTCCACTCGCAGAGTATACTTCTCTAGATTTGAGTTCCTACTTCATTTCTGCCACTTGAGGATTTCTCTTTCTTTTGAACTTGATATGCCCTCGCCCTCTCTCTCTCTCTCTCTCTCTTTCTCTCTCTCTCTCTCTCACACACACACACACACACACACTCCAAATGTGTGTATGTCTTTTAAGTTTAAACATTTTATCCAATATTTCTACATATTTTGAGTCAAAGGTATTTATAATGAGAGAAATGGCTAAGGAAGAAATATGTCTGAATATTATTTTGAACAAATTAGTGAATAAACACTGAAGCAATATTTTCTATATATTTCACATTGTATTGCTCTTAAGTACCAATCTGACTTTTAAAATATACTACACTGTGTTATCTAGGTAACTCTGAATTCTACTGATGTCCATTATGAACTCCAAATTTCTCCTTCCTAGCAGTATATCTACATTTATATCCAAATCATTTGTAGACAATTTTGAGTAGATTCAGAGGTTGTACTGCCTCCCTAGTCCAATGGTAAGTAGGCTAGCTTTACTTTGAGATAAATAGCTCTTTATCAGTATTGCAATATTATCAGTGCATTGAAGACACTAATTTTCCTAAAGTACATAAACATTAAATGATAACTCCTAATTGTCAACTGCAAGTTTCTAGCTCTTTTCTACTCCCATTCTTTTTCTTAATGCAGACCATGTCCCTCTTACAAGCTTGGTACTTACACTATCAGAAAGCCTTTTGTCTTCCAAAATAAGGACCAAGAACATTATCATTTCTTTGCAAAACTTTGTCGGCAATACTATGCCAGAAACACCCAGCTTACTGGTAAACAGAAACTATAGCTTTCACTGTAAAATACTATAATTACTCAGTGCAACAGTATCTGAGGTTTTTATCATTGAGGAAATCAATAATAGCACAGACTAGAGCTCTCCTTTGCACTAGAGTAGATACAGCAGGGCAGATGAAAGAGTTTATTGACCTAGTAGAGACTGTTACTACAGCAAATCAGAATTATGAAAGGAAACAGCTTTTTAACTTATTAATTCAAACACCCAAATGTTCCAGGCTAATAGGAGACTCGATAAATAAACAAATAACACCTCTTGGAGCCTCATTTCCTTTCCTTACTTACACACACACCTCATGCCATCATTATTGGTAAACATCCAATCATTAGAAAAAATTCTATTAATGCTGTAAGAAATCAGCTAGATGCTAAGGGGATGCTATGTCATGAAAGTCTTAACTTGAATATTTCATGCTTGTATTTGACAAATGTCATAATTTATAATGTGTCATTTGTGTAAGGAATAAAAGGCCCAATGTTCCATCTTGCAGCAATGTACTCCTTGTTAAATATGTTGCTTTAGGAATTTTAAAATATGCACAATAGAAACAGTAGGCATTAAATCACCCAAAGTTGAAAAGTATAATATTGAGAAAGGGAGTGAGAGAAACTTCAAATATTGCTACTTTCAATCACATGAATCAATTTGCTCAGCACTACAAGAATACTAAATTATAAAAATGTTAAAAAATAACTTGTGTATGGTATGTTTTCATTTTAATCGTCAACTCAGACTAATACCAAGAGGAACAAACCCTGGATCTCTGGATAAATGGTTAGTAAAAGAGCTGTATTCTTTTCATTCTGTGTTTCTGGTACAAACTCAGATGCACAGCAGTCGTTCCCAAATCACAACCAGAAGCTATGCTTTACACCCAGCTGCAGTCTGTTCTCAAAGAATACCATGTACCGTGGACAGAAAAATAAGAGGCCCGCTGGATTTTTATTCTGTGTCAGCAATGTAATTACCTATTTGTATTTTAAGTAAGGTTCCTTTTTAAAGGTCCCTGTGTGTATAGACTCTGGAAAGTAAACAGAATTTCATAAATGTGCTGAAAATATCTTATTCTTAAATGACAAATACAAATATATTCCACAAGCAATCTGTAATGTGTTATAAGAAATGTCAACATTTGGCTGCCATTAGGTAAGATCCAAAGACAGCACACTGTTTGATCCATTCATCTGTTATAGGTGTGATTTCAGAACAATTCTTAGTACCTTAATTCATGGTCATAAAAGGGATGGTAAATTTTGTACGTCTAAGGGCTCCTCAATAGAGGAGTGAGAGTCTGCAAATATGCAAATCAAACCACCATCTCATTAAGAAAATCTAAGGAAAAAGGCCATGAAAAATGTGGAATATTTAGCTTATAGCACCTATTATATTCTTGAGCCAATCGTCTACACCCATTTTTAAAAATTTATGTTTTATAAACATTAGTCCCTTTAGATAAATGTTATAATTTCTAATACAAACCCAGCATCTTCAAGGTGTTGTGAAGATGTTCACACTAAACACTTGTAAACTGGTAAATCTACTTGCACAAATATTTCCTGTCCTTATACATATATTTTAAATTTCATGGACACTGGTTCAGTAACAGCCATGAATTAGAAATAAATAGCTTACTTTTTGGAAGTCATGTGACTCTATGAGGAGTTTAGGGTGCCCTTTTGTGCACTATAATAAAACTGAGTAGCACTTCCCTGCCCTGAAAAGAATGACAGCCCCTCCATGGAAACAACTAAATCCCTTTTTGCTCATGGAAAAGCAATACTGTGTGTGTCATCTGTTAACTGGATACAGTTATTTTTCATACTGGGTTCTGGGAGATTCATTTTTTTCAATTTTGACAGAGACCCACGATATTGGTATAGTACTGCATTTTTGTTTAAGAAATTTTTATTTTTTGATATTTCCTTTAAAGAAATCCAAATGGTTAAACCCCAGACCTCCCCAGTGTCTGTCGTTTGCTCAAATAGACTTACTCTGCATGCACAGACCATCCGTGCAGTTCTTGGATTGCAGGACGAGGCCGTCACAGTCCTTGCCTCCGTTCTTGGGGGCTGGTGCCGTGCACTCCCTCCTGCGCCAGTGCGTGCACTCGGTCCCACAAGTTGACCACTTGCTCCATGAGGTCCACCTGCCATCCACTGCCACACAAAAACCAGCATCGGGTCAAAGGGAGAAGGAACTTTTTGAGGGCAGAGAGGAGCAGAGCACAAGCAGAAACAACACAACACCAAACACTGAAGAAAATGCCCCCCACCCCACCCCGAGGAACACTGCATTCATTTTAACTGCTGAAGTAGTGCATGCTCTACATACATTGTGTGGGCTCTTCGAACTTCCCTTACAAGGTGTGTGACTATTTCTTCACTGACCAAGCAAATGGAAGCTTAATGGGACACACAGAAACCAAAGCTGTCACCAGGAGCTGCATAAAAGTAAATCCTGGTGGTTTTTCTATTAAAGGGGAAATGTCTGGATTTTGGATTGAAAATTAGGGAACCTCTTTTTGGATCCAAGATTCCTTCCTGCATAATGTAATGTGGGTAGTGCAAGTAAACCTCTGTGGGGTTCAGGAGAAGAGGCTGGTAGAGTGTGGAAGAAATCCATCCATCCATCCATCCATCCATGTACCTGCACCCCTCATCTACATCCTATACATTCTTTTTATTTTTTCATCCATGCTGCTTGATTCTAACATCTTCTGCAATGACTTCTTGAAAAGTCTATATTATTTTCCATTTATTATTTGATTTCATTCCATTATTTGATGATATATGTTGCTATTTTTATTTTAAAAATAATATTTAAGCACATTCCTTAATGTGAATTAATTCACATTCCTGAATTCCTGTGATTCAGTCATTTAGAATAGATTCACTTTCTTCTTAATTTTTGTGCTTGACTTGTTAGTAAACTTCAGTGATAAAGAGCTAAGAGATCTCTATTTTAAAAACACACAACTTAAATACTCTAGTACATTCTTTAAAGGTTCTTACATAAATAAGAGGAAAATACTAAAATAAGAGTTAAATTTTTAAAAATTTCCCTGAAATACATAAATAATCATCTAGGATTCAATGTAAGACAATCGCAAACATCATTTATTGAACATGCAATGTACATGTGTTATACCTACATATTGACAGAAATTAGATCAATTTTAATAATCTACATAGTTTGGGAAATCTGTGTGATTTCATATTCAAATTATTGTGTAACTATATGTATTATGCATAATATGTATAGAGATATAAATATACCCACATGAAAAAATGATGAAAGTATTAATATTTCAATTGTACAGTTAGCTATATAAGCAACTCCCAGCTATCTGAAGAAAAGACATTTGCTTTGACCTAGACCATCCCAAAGTACGCACACACACATTTCTATTTCAACTAAATGCTCAGTGCATTTCTAACTGTGGGAGTCAGTATGCAGACAAAACATAGGAGCGTACAAGAGAAAATACTGAAATTCTTAGCCTAGCTAAGTGTCAAAGTTTGTTCCATAAATAAAGGCTCTCAAAGGGTTCAGTGTGGGATACTGTTTTGATATTCGGAAATGAAAACAGGAATATAAAATTTATATTACCGTTTTCTCTCCAGTTCACTTCTCCAACCCACCTCTGAGAAAATTCTACTAAAAGGATGAACCTGACATAAGTTAGGCACTATAAAGGGAAGTAAGTAGTCTTTGTATCTAAATAATGAAAGTGACAATATAATAGCTACCCCAATGGGATACAATAAATTTATGGGTTATTTCAAAATAATTTTAGCTTAATTTTTTAATATATTTTATAATTGGACATTTTAGTGGGTTTTGGTTTTGGCAAATATTAACTTCAATTTACCAAAGGATAAGAGCTTGGGACAACATGAGATAGCACAGAAAGATGTTCAGAGGCAAAGGGATGCAATCTTGCTATAGGTACCATTGCAAATAACTCAAAAATAGGTGACCAACATGTACAGATAATAGATGACTGCACTGTGTTTTCAAAATCCATTAGCTCATGTGTCAGAAAGCTTAGACTTCCTTTTAATTCATTTCAGATGTTTTATTTGCCTTTGCCCAGAAACTGACACCAAATATCAAGTACTTCACCTAAAACATTTTCTAAATTTCAGTTCCAATTAATTTCCACGGCTTTCTGGAGATCAAGGTTGTTATCTTAAATGTGTGGCTTTCAATGCTGCTCAAATGCCTTGAATTACAGATCCTGCAATCTTGGTTCCAACAGTTTTGTTGAGTAATAGAGAGGGATTATGTTTCTGTGTGTTTAATCTCTTGTTTTACACTATTTTGTATGTTAGGGTAATAAAGTTAAGTACTCTTTTGGGGGAAAAGACCTGAGGTCCCAGCAATGTAAGCACTGAATGGGATGATGGATTTAAATAATGTTTACCACACACTCCTGTGAAGAATAAGGCTTTGTGGGACTTCCCTGGTGGCGCAGTGGTTAAGAATCCGCCTGCCAGGGCAGGGGACACGGGTTCGAGCCCTGGTCCAGGAAGATCCCACATGCTGCGGAGCAACTAAGCCCGTGCACCACAACTACTGAGCCTGGGCTCTAGAGCCCATGAGCCACAACTACTGAGCCCGTGTGCTGCAACTACTGAAGCCCGCATGCCTAGAGCCTGTGCTCTGCAACAAGAGAAGCCACCGCAATGAGAAGCCTGAGCACCGCAAGGAAGAGTAGCCCCCGCTCCCTGCAACTAGAAAAAGCTTGTGAGCAGCAACGAAGACCCAACACAGCCAAAAAAAAAAAAAAAAAAAAAGACTAAAGATTTGTATATATACCCTAAAACTCATTTCTAGAATGGGAGGAGACATGTGGAAGGAGAGCGCTGCGTTGCTTACCTGGGCATAACGTGGTGCAGGCTATTTTCTGCACACTCTGCCCTTCACAGAAGGCACCACCATTGAGTGGGGCTGGGTTGGTGCAGGTCCTTGTGCGCTTCTGATACCCTCGTCCACAGCGGCTATTACACACAGACCACTCTGTCCAGGTAGACCAGCCACCGTTTACTGGAAAGAGATAAAAAATAAAATGTGAACTAAACATATGTGCGTACACACAAACCACACACAACACATAAAAGTTGTATCCCAAGTGACCATAAAAAAATCGAAAACTTCAAAGCTATAAGAGACCCTGGATATCATTTCACACGTATACACAATGGAATATTACTCAGGCATAAAAAGAAATGAAATTGAGTTATTTGTAGTGAGGTGGATGGACCTAGAGTCTGTCATACAGAGTGAAGTAAGTCAGAAAGAGAAAAACAAGTACCGTATGCCAACACACATATATGGAATCTAAAAAAAAAAAAAGGTTCTGAAGAACCTAGGGGCAGGACAGGAATAAAGACGCAGACATAGAGAATGGACTTGAGGATATGGGGAGGGGGAAGGGTACGCTGGGACGAAGTAAGAGAGTGGCATGGACATATATACACTACCAAATGTAAAATAGATAGCTAGTGGGAAGCAGCCACATAGGACAGGGAGATCAGCTCGGTGCTTTGTGACCACCTAGAGGGATGGGATAGGGAGGGTGGGAGGGAGACGCAAGACGGAGGAGATATGGGGATATATGTATATGTATAGCTGATTCATTTTGTTACACAGCAGAAACTAACACACCATTGTAAAGCAATTATATTCCAATAAAGGTGTTAATAAAATAAAATAAAATTGCATTGCAGAGCTGAAGAATCTAAGCACAGAGACAAATAAAATGAATTATCAACATCTATTTACCTATTCAGAAAATAGGACTGTGTTCTCCTTTCCTTAGCCAGTGTTGTTTTAAAAAACATCCTCTTACCTAGTAAAGCTCCAAAAATTACTTTTGGCAACTTATCTCAAATAATATATGTTTACATCCTTATACCAAGGCTGTGAGTGACTATGAAGCATGGGAACTGATAAAATCATTTAGCCTTTTCTTAATAACAGATGACTGATTATTTTTCTTTAGCATATGTAAACTTTATAACCTTTTAAGGACTTTTAGTTTCATTAATAAGTGAATCTAGTTTTTAAAGAAGTCTTGATAGCTGGATTTTTAACTAATTGAGTATCTATTTGGATGAATTAGCGATTAGTTGATGTAACTGAAATGGACACCTATTTTGTGTACAAAGGGTATTTACGGTGTTTGGTGGAGCTGTCAGTATAGGTGCGATGATAAAACCTACTCCCTGGGACTTCCCTGTTGGTGCAGTGGTTAAGAATCCACCTGCCAATGCAGGGGACATGGGTTCAAGCCCTGGTCCAGGAAGATCCCACATGCTGCGGAGCAACTAAGCCCGTGTGCCGCAACTACTGAGCCTGCCTCTGGAGTCCACGAGCCACAACTACTGAAGCTTGCGTGCCTAGGGCCGGTGCTCTGCAACAAGAGAAGCCACAGCAATGAGAAGCCCGTGCACCACAATGAAGAGTAGCCTGTGCACTGCAATGAAGAGTAGCCCCTGCTCACCACAGCTAGAGGAAGCCCATGCACAGCAACGAAGACCCAACACAGCCAATAAATAAAGAAAAATATTTTTTAAAAAAAAACCTACTCCCTAACACTATGTTCACTACCTCTGTAGATCTTGCTCTAGAAAATACTCTGACATACTTTTGTATATCAATATATGAGTCTGTGAAATCATTTTAATTAAGCAATTTCTAACAAAAATTATTTGCTGGTGGTTAAAACATGGCACAACTAGTATATGTATCTGCTTCCTGATGGTAAAGAAGAGTGTTACTCAGATAACACAAACCTTACATGTGAACATCATATACCCATCATCTTCTCTAGAAACTTATGCAATAGACAATAATCATGAATGTGTTATACATACAGACATAGACTATTTTTCACTGGAGAGTTATTTTTTATATAAACTGAAATCAATTGTGATGTTCAATAATAGGAACATGGTAAACACGTATGTTCGTGAGATTGACTCCTAGGCAGCTATTGAAAATGACTCAGTATACATGCACCCTATGTTCATAGCAGCACTATTCACAATAGCCAAGACACGTAAACAACCTAAATGTCAATCGACAGGTGAATGGATAAAGAAGATGTACAGGGACTTCCCTGGTTGTCCAGTGGTAAAGAATCCTCCTTCCAATGCAGGGGACGTGGGTTCGATCCCTCATGGCGGAACTAAGACCTCACACGCTGCGGGACAGATAAGCCTGTGTGCTACAACTACTGAGCTTGTGCACCTCAATGAGAGAGCCCGCGTGCTGCAAACCACAGAGCGCACATGCTCTGGAGCCCGTACACAACTAGAGAGAGAAAAACCCACATGCTACAACTAGAGAGAAGCCTGCGCGTTGCAACAAAAGATCCCGCATGCCTCAAAAAAGATCCCGTATGCCGCAGCTAAGACCCGATGCAGCCAGAAAATAAATAAATAAAGGGGAAAAAAGGGCTAGCCATCACAGTCTTATTTAAAAAAAAGATGTGGTACATATACACCATGGAATACTACTTAGCCATAAAAAGGACAAAATAATGCCATGTGCAGCAACATGGATGTACCTAGAGATTATCATACTAAGTGAAGTGAGTCAGAAAGAGAAAGATAAGTACAATATTACTTACAGGTGGAACCTAAAATATGACACAAATGAACCCATCTATGAAACAGAAACAGAATAAGGGATATAGAGAAGAGACTTACGGTTGTCAAGGGGGAGGGGGGTGGGGGAAGGAGGGATTGGGAGTTTGGGATTAGCAGATGCAAACTATTATATAGAGAATGGATAAAAACAAGGTCCTACTGTATAGCACAGGGAACTATATTCAATATCCTGTGATAAACTGTAACGGAAAAGAATGTGTGTGTGTGTATATATATATATATATGTATGTATGTATAACTGAGTCACTTTGCTGTACAGCAGTAATTAACACAACAATGTAATTTAATTATACTTCAATTAAAAAATAAATTTAAAAAAATGATGCTGTAGAAGTCTATTTAATAATACATGGATATTGCAACATTATGCTTTAAGTAAAAAAATATATTTAGAATCCTTATTTTAAAATCCTATTTATGCTAAGAAAATTCCAGTAGTATACATATCAATCTTTTTTAAAGCTACCTCTGGATGACAAAATGACAGGATTATAGGTATTTTTTTCTTTGAACGTTTTTCTGTGTTTCCCAAATTTTCTATAATGTATATTTGCAATCTAAAAATGATGCTAACAAAATTAAATATATACAACAGACTCTAAAATGAAATACTGGTTACATATATATGTTTTTCTGTGGACTATTAGTGAGTCCAACCTATGAGCCTTGGACAACTTATTTTACGAGGCCATGAAAAGGACAAGCTGATGTTTGACAGGTAGAGTTGCATTTAGCATTCCAAAAAGCAATTTAATCCACTTAACTTCACAAAACTCCAAATGTCATGGAATTGTCAGTATAAATTGCTTACCAACACACTGGCAAGCCAATATCATAAACTTTTAGAGAAAAGACAGGTCTTGAAGATCCTAGGCTTATTCCCTCATTTTACAGAGGAGATACAGGCTCCGAGCATTCTGTTTAAGTGACCAACTGAAGGTCAGTTGGTGATAGAACTAGGCCTAGAACATAAGACTCCTGACCCCTAGTCCCATGCTGTTTTCTAAACTCAAAATGCTTTAGTTGCTTGTGTTTGATTCTTCCTAAAGACAATGTTCAGCTTGTGCTTATGGATCCTGAAAGCATGCCACACATAGGAAAAGAGATCTGCATGTATATTAAACATCTATGTAACACATCTATTTAGAGTCTGCCTTCATTAGTTATTTATGACTGATACAAGCTGTGATGTGCCCCACTTCTCTTTTCCATTTCCAATGCTGTTAATTAAGTCGGTCAGAGAGTTTAGAAAAAGACAAAGTGGGAAACGTTTCATTGTGACTTAAGGAAATTTAACTTCAGAGTATTCAGAGGATTTTAAAAAAATATTATGCATCTGTCCTGTAATGAAAATGACAGTTTTAAAGCATCTCTACATTCAGCCTTTCGAACACATCACAGTGGTTTCTGTTCTCCTAACACCCTATAGTGTGAGGACACATCCAGCCAAATGGCACTACTTGCAGTAAGCAAGGGCCGTGAGCCACATACGCGTGGCTGTCCTTCCTTCGTAGTCATTTAGACAAATCTCCTGGAGGGTCATTTAACACTGAAGCGCCATGAAGAGCTTCCTTACATTCTAAGTGGTAGCCATGTCATTCCGGAGGTGGCAGAACCTCAAAATATTTCTCAGGGTCATTCAGTTTCCTCTGAGACAATAACTCATCAAGAATATGAAGACCTACTATGTATCTAACACTGTGAGAAATACATAAATTTACAGGGCTGTTCTCTTAGTCTACCAAGGAGCTTAAAAGCTTAGCTGGGGAGATGGAACTACTAGTGAAATGATGAGAAAACCACTGAGTGCCAAAGCAGACAGGCAGATAAAAGCATCACGTGCTACAGCGAAACTGGGGGCAGAATCGTTTAGTACTTCTGGAGAAATGATAGGCTTAGAGATGACACGGATTAGAAAGGGCCTGAGAGTGGAAGAGAAGCTTTCTGAAGAAGTCATCATGTTGAAACTTGCTACAGGGTTAGGATTAGGGCTGCTTGGCAATGGCAGCCCTTGTCTTCACTCTGGATGCCCCTGGTGGAGTGTAAAGCAAGTTCTAGGGAGTTAAAGTTGCTCTGATGTGTTCGGAGAGCATGTCAGCTCCAGTTTACCTGAGGTTTTGCAATCACACTCCTGAGGCCCACAGAAAGAGCAGCAGACTGCCTGAAGCATCTTCATCTTGGAATTCCCTCTAGATCTCTGTAGTCCAGGCTATGGAGAGCGGGAGGGCCTAGGGAAGCAGGGAACCGTCCTGGTACTTAGGTAGATTTCCTTCATTTTTCTATAAACTGACTGAGAAAGGACTAGGGATTTCTAAGTCTAGTTTTTCTATGAGTATCAGGAAGGCTGTTAAACCTCAACGTCCACATGAGAAGCTGGAAGAGAGCCGCCATGGGGATTGAAAAGGGGCCTCTTCACCTGGTATTTTAAGATTAAAATGAGAAACTGCAGTTTGACCTCAACTAGGTTGAGACCCCAAAAGCTCACTCACCATAGACTATGACAGTTGCGGTCGTGCTTTTCCTCTTGGCGACAATGTTTTTGGCAACACAAGTATAGTTTGCAGTATCCGAGAGGCGGGCCTGCTTGATGATGAGGTTGTGATCAATAGTAATATAAAAATTCCGATCTTCAACAGGATCAATGATATCTTCATTTTTCAACCATTCCACCTAAAGATGCACGAGAGAAACAGATAAATTCCCAGTATGGATCCCTTGATGGCTGTCTGTCCTGACTTTTGTTTTGCAGTGTGGATAACATTGTTCCACGCCACGGACTTCTGCAAAGTGGAGAAAGTAACTTTCTGAGGTCACATTAAGTATCACTCACCTGCCAAACATGCTGATTCTGTCTGTACTACATTATTCTCAAATGTCAATGACCCGACTGGGAAATACAGTGTTCAAATTGTTTTCACTTTGCCCTCCAGGCAGGAATTGGGGATGTGCATTGCCAAGTTCAGAACCCAATCAAAAATAATAGGCTAAGCATTTCAAACTGAACTCAAACCTTTTGCTATTTGATTTGTTTACTCTTGGCAACTTACCTGCTGCTTTTCAGCAGAGAATATAAGGACTATTAAAAAAGCTCAAAAGGCATCTTAGACATCGTGTAGCTCTAATAAAACATTTGGATGATTTATGTGTAACATATGGATTAAATTCCCCTAAAAGTGCACTTACTTTAAAATATAGCAAACACATATTTAGAGATGTATCTAAGCCAAAATCTTGGGAGGAAAAAAAAAAAGGTTTTCTACTAACTCTCAATATAATCCAAATAGCATATAAGTCATAGTCAAATTTCTCTTTTTGTCTATCTCTAGCATCAAATCTTTGGCTTACGGTTTGCTTCCGGAGAACCTGACCTAAGACATAACTGTTCAAAACTACTGAACCATTTTTCCTGTGCAAATATCAGTTTAGCAACAGCAATGTTAGCCTTACAGAATGAAAGGAGGGAAATATATCTGTATAAGATGTCCTTATGAAGGATAAACTATTTCTTGTTCCATAAATTGCCTTTTTCCCCTATGCACAGGTTTTTCCATAAAGCAAAACAACATTGATATTTACCACACTTAAACTTTCCTTTTACATTAGTGTGGATACCCATACAAGTAACCTTTAGTGGTAGGGAGTCAATAGTATTGCCATTTTCAAAATCTTAAGGAGCTTCCCTTGCACCACAAGAGGTCTGGAAATTAATCTCTAAATCTGTCAGTGGGCTGGATGTTACACAGATCTAAATTACATCTAACACAGGGACTCTAAAACAATGATTCCCTAATCCTTAAAAGAGAGGACAAAATTTAAAGGGAAAAACAAAATACAATCATCTTAAAATAAACGTATGAGGATGTAGACAAGAGTGACTATTTGTAAAGACGTAAATTTTGAAATAGCTAAACGGTGTTGACATTTACACTAATGGAAGTGAGAAACTGTGAAATCCATCTAAAATAGTGGAGTTTTAAAACATGCATTTTGTTTTCAATAAAGACAGCACATTCGGTCCTGTGCTTGGATATATTTGATGAGAGATGCACACTCACTTGACCTGGATTTTCTCAAACTTCGGCCCTGCATGTGCGGTAATATGATCTTGCTACAAGTGCAAGAGGAAAGGGAACAAGATTCAGACTATTAGAAAACTGCTTGATGATAATTGAAAGCTGACGTTAATATCTTCTGAAGCTAATCTTTACACAGATTATCTTTGCCGTTTGAAAGAAAGCTTTCCACTTACAGAAGGTCCTGTGGCTCCCCTGATTTGTTCTTAGATCCCATGTGGGGGGTGGGTGGGGGGGCACACGCGTGGGCATGCGCAATTTTCTTTCAAGGACCCATACCTTCTACTTTGCTTTGAAGGATGGCCCTCAGGCTCCTAGATGTTTTGCTTCGAAGTACCTAGGGGTTCACAGCTCCCCCCACCACCACTTTCTCCTTTGCTGTGACCTCACAGGTATGGAAACAAGCCCTGTGTCCAATCAGGTTGGAACCTGAATTGTTACTCTCCAGAGCTGCCTCCTTGAGACATCTTCTAAAAGTATACTTTCTGGGCTCCTTCTTTTCTCTCCTGCTTGCTCCACCCACTTACAGGACTCTCCTGGGAGCACTTCTATAACAAACCATTTGCATTCAAACCTCTGCCTCGTGGTTTACTTCTGGAGAGCCTGATCTAAGTCAGGACTGTTCGAAACTATGGTTTCTTCTATGTACATAATAGTTAACAACAGTAATGCTATACTGATTGTAAATGACACAAAGAGATCCCAAGGGATACTGCAAACCACCTGTTTATTTGAAAAGTTTATTATGTGGAAGAAAAAAGGATTCTGCACTGCTGGCAAAACATTTAAAAAGACTTGTGTGATTACTGGGTATATATGATGTCTTTCTCATACGTGACTGTTATTTTCCTCAGGTGTCTCTCATCAACATCGGAGCAGTGATTATGACCTGAGATATGAGGACCCCTAGAAATGCTGAGGCAGTAACCCTGAACCCTGTGAGGGACGTGGCCCTCCTCCCCTAATTCTGGCTTTCACCCAGGGAAACTCTGCTTCGATTTATTCTCTACACTGGGCTTGCCTGTATGTCTTTGTTTGAAGAAACAATGACATCTACAGAGAGAAAAGAGCTGTAGGAATGAAGAAAGGACCCAAGGACTTGGGCTTTTAGCAAGATGCCCCCCTCCCAGTTCCCTATGCCCCAGAACTCCCAGTCTTGTCACCAAGTCCTGTTTTGAGACCTGGAGGAGCTCAGGAGGAGCTCAGGTCTGGACCACAGGTCATCACTCACCTCCTGCACTAGAATCACCACCTTGCTCAGCACATCTCCATCACCCACCCTCCAAAACTTTTGAAACCCTTCCTCACTACCTTGGAACACGGCACCAATATCTTCCAAAATTTCAACCTCTGTTCAGATTGTTTTCTTCACTTTTCTCTAACTAAATCCTAGCTCTTTCATGATGCTGCTGTTTCTTCTAGAGTCCTCTCAAGTGGGGATGTCTGATTTCCCACACCCAACGTACCACGAGGACTGGGGATTGTGTCCTCCTTGATCCACATTGTCTGCTCTACCTTCGCATCCTTGCAGTGAAACGTGGCTGTGCAAAGCCATGTTGCATGGTGTAATCTTACGTTCATGATGACAGAACTCAAGTGGGCCCTAAATTCTGCCAAAAGATGGTACGGTATTTCCAACGTCTATAAACTGTCCCACACTCCTAGACAGCTATTTCACACCTTCTCCTCTCTGCTTAAACACTACCTCCCCTGCTATCCTCGCTTTCGGCCAATGACCAAGGTTTCCATGTCACGGAGAAAACTGACAATCACCAGACATCTCCCAAAGCTCCCACTACCCACCTACCACCACTGTTCTGCACCCTCCCTCCTGTTACTAGGGCAGCTCTCTGCTCCTATGTGTCACCTCTCACTTGTAGTCTGCATTCCAATCCTGTTCTCTTATTCAAGGGCAAGCCCCAGGAATTCTCCTCTCTTACATCATGAATTTCCCACTACACAGAATCATTTCCACCAGCATACAGACACGTGGTTACTTTACACAACTTAAAAGAAAATCCCTCCCCACTCATTTCTGCCTTTAGTCACCCCCACGTTCCTTTGCTCACCTTAAAAGACACCTTGGAATACTTGTTTGTACATTCTCTCCAGTTCCTGTCCTCTTCATCTCTGCTGAATCCATTCTAATTCACACTGACCTCCAATGTTAGAACTGCTCTCTTTCCAAGGTACCAGTTACTTTGACTTTGTTAGATGGACTGGTGAGGTTTTAGTACTTGACTTAACTTTTGACCCCATCGGTTTCTCCCTCCTCCTTGCCCGCTTTCTCCAGACGGGGCACTTTCTTAGTTTTTGTCCCATCTCCTCCCATTCCCCCACAGCTTCCTTGGGTTTAGGTCTGTTCTTCCTGGGTAGCTCTGTCCTTGGACCTCTTCTTTTTTCTATTTCCCATCCATATTCACTTTCTTGGTGAGCTCATCCAGTCTCATGCGGATGACTCCTAAATTTATCTCCAGTCTAGACCCCGTCCTTGAACTTCAGACTCATTAATCCAACTGCCTTCTTGCAACTCCACTGGGTTGTCTGATAACGATCCCCCGAACTGCCCTCCAAAGCTGTTCCTCCCACCACCTTACCCGTCTCAGTTAAGGCCAACTCCATCCTTCTAGTAACTTAGACAGAAACCTCAGGCTTGGCCTTGACTACTCTCTCCCTCTCCCCTTTGCTGATTTGATGTCAGAGCAGCACATCAGAATCTAACCACTTCTCATCCCCTCAGCACCACTCCCTTCCCCGAGCAGATCACCATCATTTCTCTCCTGGATTACTGCAACAACTTTCTGTCTATATCTTTACTTTTCCCCTTGGTCCTAACATCTGTTCTCAACACAGTAGAGTGATCCTTAAACCCTAAGTCAGATCATGCTATACCTCATCTCCAACCCTCCAGTGGCCCCCTATGTTGCTCAGTGTCAACCCCAAAATCCTTACAAGGACCCACAAGGTCCTGCATCACCAGGAACCCTGACCTCTCTGAGATCACCTAGTTTACTCTCGCCCTTTCTCTCATCTTTTTAGATGCTGACTCCTTTGCTGGTTCTTACACACATCACGGGTGCTCTTGCCTTGGGGATGTTGAGTCTGCTGGTGCACCTGCCTGGAATAATCTTTCCCCCAATAAGTCTGCTCTCTTCTCTCCTTCAGGTCTTTACTCAGATGTCACCTTCTCAGTGAGTCACTTCCTAATCAACCTTTAAAACTGCAACATCTCCCTCTGAGTATGCTTGCAATCCCTCACTCTCTTTTATTTTCTTCATCTCATATAGTCTGTATGTTACTTGTTAGTTGTCTCCTCTACCAGAATGTAAGCTCCACGGATTTGGGTCTATTTTTTGATCACTGTTATAGTCCCGTGGCCTGAAATTGGCAGATAGTAGGTGCTTAATTAGTATTTGCTAAATGTAAGGACAAAACAACACATGTAGTAGGGTCAAGTCTGTTATACGTATTTTTAGATCTCCATAAAGTTGGTGCTTTAACTGTCAAATTTAATAATGAATATATATGGTGAGAGCAATTTTAAACATCCCTTCTAGCTAAGTCCTGCTGGAGATTAAGAACACAAGTCTCCACTGC